TTTTTTTTTTTTTTTTTTTTTTTTTTTTTTTTTTTGTTTCTTTTATATAACTTTAGTTTTATTTTTTCTGTTTTTGTTGTTGTTGTACGATTCTTGTCGTAGCAGATATTGTAAACATTTAGCACAGGTTATTGTACTGTAAGCTAATTTATGACTTTGGAGTACAAGAAGTCAAATTTAATTGAAATTAAACAAACGATCTATAAAAATATAATATAATTAAACACTGCGTACACATATGTGTCCACTAAACACCGTATTGAAAGTTAATTTCATCCGTTAATAATAAATTTATTGTCAATGCATTCAGTTCAGTTCAGTTCTGTTCGGCGCGATCTGTAACGACGATTTATTTTACTGCTATTCACACGATAATGCATTCGTTGCATTAAAATTATAATTATAATTGAAATTGAAACAACAAAAAATTCATAATAAAATTTATTGTTCATCTATCTGTTCGTTTCTCTGAAGCGATATTAATTTTAATGAATTGCGAATAATTTCAAATTCTTAATAACTGGGGTTTTCTTGCCTTGCCTTGAGAAAATTAAATCAAGAGTCGGTTAACTGTTTCATCATTTCAATCAATATTCCACCTTACACCTCAAGGCCAAATAATTGATATATTGGCTTTTAGTAGACTTCTATATGATCTGCTTTTTCTTTTTCTTCTTCTTCTATCTTTCTAAACATTTTTCTTTCTTGGTTTTTCCCTTCCCTTAATAATTGACTGTAACAACTTTTCCTATAAGTTACTAATAGCTGTAGTTTGGTGGGTTTTTATTTATTGTACATATTATGGTCTCTCGCTTCTTTCCTCCAAAAAGATGATCATGATGTGATGGTCTGGCCTTTTTTTTTTTCACAGAACTTTTTTCTTTTTGCCAGTGTTTTTCTTTTGCTTTTTTTGTTTGTTTTTTTTTGTTTTGTTTTCGTCGATTGCAAACAAGTTTCTCGTTTTTTTTGTTGTTGTTTTTTTTTTTAATAGTTTTTCAATGTTTTTGCAGAAGACAAGAAGAGATCTTGAAAACCGGCTTTGGTAACCGTGTCATTTGATTGAAAACATTATACAAAGGAAGCTATGTGCAACACATTTATTTTTATTATTATTTCAGTTTTGTTTTTTTAATACAAACATAACTTTCATGAATATTTATATCGTATTTTACAGTTAAGTTGAAAATTTTTTTTTCCTTTTAACAAAAAAAAAAAAAAAAAAAAAGGAAAAAAACACTGATTTGCATGAGAGTATATTTGCCAAGCAGCGCTAAACCTATACTGAACTGTATAGCGATATGTGATCAACGATTTTGTTGTCGCGGTTGCCGTCGTCACAGTTCAGTCAATAACATCTGTTATGTGTATATTTCCTCATAGAACATATAGATGAACAAGTATATTTTACTTTTCAGAGATTTCTTTCTAAGTTTGCTTTGCTACAATTCGTTTTGATGGAAAGGGGAATAAGAAGAAAAGAAAAAAAAAAAAAAAAAAAAAAAAGTTGAAAAAGAAGACAAAAATGAAGAAGAAAACAGAATCCGTTAGCTTGTTCAGTTAACAGCCAGTCAGTTGCGAGGAGAGAGTAGCATTTGATAATCAGGTGTATGCGCTACTTATTCCAATACACTACAGTAGTTGGCCTACCGCCAAATTGTTTACATTTGCATTCTATAAGAAGAGAGGAAATTATTAAACAAGTAACGAGTTTAAATTCGCTATTCGACGAATTTTAGTTACCCTTCATCTCAACCAATTTTGTAATTAAAACAAAAAAAATGTTAATAAAACACAAAATTTTTCGGTATCTGCTCATATTTAATTTTGTCAAAGTTTCCTATGAAATTAGGTAGGAAAATACGCTGTAGCAACGTTTTGCGGCATACATCTGATAAGTAGCCAAAGTAGAGTGTATTGTGAAAAAATTCGAAATTCCATACACTTAATAGTGTGCCCATACTAAGAAAGGGTCAACGGAGGAGCAATGTTTACGCCTTTTTACTTGTGGTGGACAATTTACATGATATTTCATTCCAAGGGCTTGAATTTTTGAGCGGGCAAGTTTGCATTAATTCAACAGTCGCCGTCGTGTTTGGTCAAGCCTGCAACTCGAAGCTTTGCTCGATTCGTTGTGCTTATATTCGCAAAAATGGGCTATGACCATGGGCGCCATGTTTTTCCACAAAGAATTGACTCAAATGACGGCCATGGGCAAGCATCATGTTCTCGGAGCATTTCGAGAGCTGATATATCAGCAAAAACATGGAATTATTGAAAATGAATTTCGATAAGGAATAACTTATATATATGGTAGATTCAAAAGATCTTTGATTAAATTCGGTTGAATATATCGGATCTTTTTCTCTTCGAGTTAAGCTATCGACCATCGAACTTTGGCTTTCCCTCCGCTCTTTTGATCTGTAAACAAGCGAACGAACACTCCGACGACCGTAGCCGAATTGACGCAAACTATCGAGGCGATCAAAAATATGTATTTAGTTTAGTGAATGTCACAAAAGTAACTGAAAAATTAATACATCTGCAATTTGTCGATGGTGGATTTAAAACTTATGGAAAATTAAGATTAAGACAAAAACAAAGAAAAAAAAAAAAAAATTATAATCATAATAACAATAATAGTAATTCCTAATAAAAGTAGGAAAACAATTTTCTTGTTTTGTTTTTTGTCTTAATTATAATTTCCTTTTGGAATTTTTCTTTATCTACTGTCGTCTATCATCATTCCGTGTGAGATGTCTTTCTTCGGTGAAGCGGCTGCGCAGCAATTGAATTTCTATCTTTGCCGACGTAAGCGATATTCCTCGAAATAAAATTTGTCTGTATATATTTATCTGCGACTGATTACAGTTATTTTTATAACATTCTCAGTGTCATCAGTTATAGATAAGCATTTAATATTTGCTGCTGTTGTTACCAACATTTGTTTTGCATTGCAAAAGTTTTCTTTTTTTTTTTCTTTTTTTTTTTGCCTTTCTGAGTGTATTAATCTGTTTACGCGAACAAATAATGATAACAATTAAAGAGCTTGTTAAGCCCCTTATATCTCGATGAATTATGACTAAAAAGCGTTTTCCTCTTATAAATTATAAAAATATTAATTATATTGCATTCATATGCAAAGCGCTTGGATAAGGACGATAACGGATTTTAGGCAGTAATCGCCAACTTCCAGCTAAAAAGTGGCGATTTTGCGATCCATCTGACGGGTATTTTTGACTATTCGAAAGAAAATAGTGATAATAAGCCATAAAAAACTACCTCGACCGATTTACTTAAATTACTATCGTATCGGATATATGCAAGCTTCATTTTCCCTTTATAGCAATCTGATATTAATTTCAGAACACCCACATCCTTGCTTTTAATCTGATTAGGTCCGCTTATCCGCTTATCTGAGACAAAAGCTTATAGATTGAGTTTGAAAATGAGCACGATCTGCCTACGTCAACAATCGCACCTACAATGGAAACAAAGTTATGAGTTTACATACAGTTGCTAAGAGATATCTTCCTAAAAATCGGTGCTAATATTTATCAACACTATTCAAAAAAAAAGTTTAGCGTAAGAACATCCATGGCTTTCCAAAAAACGTGCTGACAATTATTAATAAGAAACTCTGACTTTCAGCCTAAGGGAGATCGAGTTTCGTTATTGGACAAAATGAGCAAATTCAGACCTGACGAGTGATACGCAAGGATCACGGCTAAGAGAGGTTGAATGGCATGTCATTCCCTTAGTTGAGTTTTAGAAGCAAACGTTCGGCTACTCCTGACTTAGAGCCGCTGAACCGGTTTTAACTTTTTAACTTACTTTTCTCATGATTTGAGTTTTCATGGAAATTAATCGGTTTTCTAAGAAACTTAATTTCTAAAGAAGTGAAAAACCAGAAACAAATTCACGACGCGTTACCCGTATCGTGCAACTAGTGACTAGCGAGAAGATTAATCATAATTGGCAGAAATTTACGGGGAAATCGGATTAAAAATGTCGCGAGAAGTGAGGAAGTAATGGTAACTTGTAAAAGGGTACATAGGCAGAATATTTGCGAGGGACAAATGATTGCAATTGCAATGTTCGAACGGACAAGACCAGAGGGAGAATTAAAGCGTTACAAATATAAGTTTCTGTAAGCAATCTCCTAATTTTCCAAGTAAAACCTATATTATCCTAAAAATCACAATTCAATGGTACGGACTGTATTTCAAAAGGTGTTGAATGAATAACGTAATGTCACGTATGTGACAATATTACAAAAATTTAACAAATCTCTTTTGTAAAATAGTATTTCGATTATTGTGTACGTTCTACGTTTAAGGGTACGCAGCTGTTTACATAATCAGTAAGCGTAAGTAAGCGTATGTATGTTAGTCTTTCAATGTGATATAGTACAGCAATAGCTTACAAATGACAGATTATTTATTTTCGATAACATCGTTGACGTTGTTTACGCTTACATAGCAAGTTACTCCAATGATATTATTGTACACTTTATTGGAAATTGTATTCGTTAGAAGGCGGAAAAATCATTTTGATAATTAGTAAGCGTGAAATTCGGAATCGACATTTGTCTACCTAGTCTTTCGTCTATCTAATTTCGCATTCAGTTTAAATTTGGGAAGTTTCTATATAATGGTTAGAAAACTTAAGCAATCATGTAAGAAACAACTTTTTGATATGCGTTCAATATTTGTGTAATAATAAGTTATCTGCGATAAAAAACATTTTGCAACTTGCGTAGAAATTAACTGTGGATATACTGTTTCAAGACGCATTCGAAAACAGGCAGACACTACAAGGATACTATATACAAAAATATATATCATAAATGAAGAATGTGCAAAAATCGTGAGATATGACGTTAAAAGTAAAAGTG